TAAAGGGGATTCCCCATTCCATTTCATTTCATGGGGAAAATGCGCCCCTAATTGAAAGCTCCCATAACATAAAGACCTAAACATCCTACATTTCATAAATTCTTACAGCAAAATTCCCTACATTTCATAAATTCTTACACCTAAATTCCCTACATTACATAAATTCTTACAGCCCTACATTTCATACACTAAAAACACCTTCAATCAATTTCCTACATTCCATCAAAAAAAGCAAATTTTAAACCTTAAAAATGGCAAATAAAATACTAGATCCAATCTTTAGATTATACGATCCAATTCGTTATTCATTTAACAAGAAAAAAGAGGATTATATTATCATTTCACCCACTGTTGGTTCTAAATCCCAATTGAATGATGGTGGTAGAATTACCTTCGAAATAAATTCATTATCGAATTGGTTGCTTCTTTCCGATGCTTATTTCAGATGTGATTTCAAAATCAAAGAAGCCACTCAGAATCAAGTTCCACAAACAAATACAACGTTAGAAAACAATTTCTTTCCATCTTTATTTAGCAAGATGGTTTTGGAAGCTGGTTCAAATCCGATAGAAACAATCAAACATCCTGGGGAATTCGACACAATGTTGAAAACAGTTTTATATCCTAAAGATTTCGATTCAGTTTCAGGCTGGATACCCGATGTTGGTGATGGAAGTATTTTAACGGAACCGGTAAGAAATCTTGCAAATGATTCCGATTTAGCTAGAGTGAGAGTTGTTGCTCGAAACACGATAGAAAGAGTAGGACGAGCAATTAATCATGGATTCGAAAAACGAGTACTTCAGTATAATAATGTTGTTGAGAATAATAGGTGGGGTAATTACGTAAATTGGAAATTATATCCTTTATTCGGTCTGTTGGAACATAGAAAAGTTTCCATAGACTTACCACATAAAATTCATCTACAAAGAGAAATCAACGACGATAAGATATTCTTTGGAGAGAATGGTTCAGATGCAAAATTAGAAATAACGAATCTCCAACTTTTCATACCAGTAATAACACCATCAATTGAAGTAGAAACGAAAATATTCAACTCGTTAACTAAAGATATTGAAATAGCTTTTCTTCATCGTAACACTGTAGGTAGCACGACTTTAACTGGAGAATCCACCACATAGCCAATCACCAACACTTTTAAACCAGCAAGATATTTAATGGTTGGTTTCAAGAACTTACCAGATTCTCAAACGAATAACAATAATGTCTTTAGAGTGGCAATGAACCAAACTCAAGATCCTTTAATCCATAAAGTTCAAGTAAGATTAAACAACGATAATTATCCTAACCAACCTTTAACAATTAATCCAACCACAAAGGATTATAATGAATTGTATAGAAACTATAAAAATATGTGTGAATTATTCGGAAATCTACCTCAGTTTGAATATGTAGATTTTGCACTTAATCATCCAATCTTCTGTTTTGATCTTTCAGCTCACCAAGAAGATCTTTTCAAAACAGGAGTGAACATAAATATTCAAATTG